CCAGTAACTTAATACGCACTACTAAATAAACGATCATTATAAACATAACCTCTGAAACAAGTTAGCAGCTAACATACCTCTGATGTAGTGGCAGCTGCCTGCAGGCACCGACATCCTGCTCCTCCTGACCGCAGACGCTTTAAAATCCACTTTTTACATGGTCGTTCTGTGAGCTTTCTACATTTTTCATCTTTGTATGATAATCAGTGTTATCATATGTTGTCATAGGGATGGGCAGAATCGTGTGTAATTATTCATCAGATAAACTTTTGCTGGTTATTTTTTGGCACCTGGTGATGTAAGACGTGTGTGGTACCGACAGCCTCAGAAAATCTTTAGGTTCTGTCGAAAAGTCATTCATCTTCTTCATACTGTAAGAAAAAACGTGTTCAATATTGATTGAAGTCAAGATGAAAACACAATTGTTAAATAAAATGATTTGTGAACAGATCAAAGTCATACAACACCAGAATTCTGGATCTCAGTGAGGTTTATTGTCACGGGCTGACAAGCAAAACCACACGGACTCACAGTCAGGAAGTACATGTTTTTATACACGATTCTTCAATGCCTGAGCTCGCCCCCTACTGACCTACGGCTGAATCACAACAACCTCAACCTAATGTTATTAAAACGCGTCACTTATGTGTTGTTTATGATTCAGACATGTAGCTACTCTACTTCAATTAACACATAATAGATTAAACATTATAAAAGTATTATAAAAAGGAAACCCTAATACTCTAGTGTTGTTTCTAACATCAGTACTAATCTATAATAACTATAAATTTCTTCAATACGAGTCATGTCTGACATATTTGTGAACAAATTTTTGTTATATATCTTGAAATAGGATCTAAATCCATACAATAAAGACTCTCGACAGTAGTTTCCTCCGTAGACATTTTACCCCCTGCCCTCCAGCCGAGATCGCTCCGCCTTCGAAACCACGTGAATGAAAACAGCTATTCCTCTTTTATTTCAATAAGTTCAGTTTTAATTTCCTTTTTTTTTTCCTTTTCCCCATTTCATTGTCTTTTTTTTCCTTCTTTCGGCTGCTCCATTTTTCAGGAGTCGCCACAGCAGCACAACCTGCATAAAGATTTTTATAATTGCCAAATGTCACTGACACAACTGTTTATAGT